ATCGCCGATACATCGGCGATACAGCCCCTGAACGCAAGTCCGCACGCTCCTGAGCGGAGTAGGCTATCTGGGCCCCGTCGGCGATGAATTGGCGATTCGGGGTCGATGCGGCCCCCTCCCCTTAACCGAATGCCTCACACCAACACTCCATCGTCGTAGAGGGACAGGCCCGACTTAACAACACGGCGAAGCTGCGCCACGGCGTGAGGCAAAGGACAGCATGGCAGCAGCTGAACTGCTACGTCGACGAGCGTATGCGTTAAACGCCAAGAGGAGGACCAATCCTGACGACAATCTCTGAGATCGGGCGGTTCTGGAAAACGTCTCGGGCGCCGCGGCCTTCTCAAAACGTTCTGGAACGCTCTGAGAGCGCTCAAGAACGCTCTGGCACGGACGTGTCCTCGTCCTGGCTCCTTCCTCGTCCCAGGAGGTCGCTGATGGCCTCCGGAGGCCGAGCGCTGCAAAGCTTAAGTCGGGCGCGTCCCCCTACAGGGGGATTTCCGACGGAAAATAACAAATACCCCGAAAATAATCAGAAATTATCAAAAATAATCAAAGAATAGCCTCTGGACTATATTTGGACTATTCTTGAACATTCCCCCTGTAGAGGGACAAGCCCGACGTACTGCAAAGCCGTCCGTCTTGATCTCTCTTGCACGGAGAGAGGGCTGCGAGTGGGCCCTGCGGTGCGCGCCTGCGCCCCCGCGCCCTCCGCTGGCATCCCCCCACGCCCCCGACGAGGGCGTCTTTCTTTGGACTCCGGCAAGCTCACTCGCACGGCATCTGCCGCCCTTTCCGGGCAGCGTGGGGCCGAGAATGCGAGACAGGGCGCCCCGGCTGGCGTGACGTGCGGACTTCTTCTCGGGCCTCGCCGGGCCTCCTCCCCTCCCCGCGCCAAGATATGATGCATCCTCATGGGACCTCGTTTGTCCCATGGCGCCAACTGTCTGTGTCGAATCCGCGTCGAAACCATGTTGGATCCGTGTCAAAGCGGTGTCGCATCCAAGCCGAACTCGCGTCAGAGACACGTCGAGACAAGGGAAGAAGCGGATTCCGGCTGGCCTCAACGGGCCCCACGAGCAGCCCTGGGTGGTCCCAACACCTCCGCCCGGGGCGCGGAGAGTCCTGGGGGTGCCGCCGGAGGCGGCGCCAAAAATGTTACCCACCTCCCCCCGCCATGCTGCGTAATATCCGCGACGTCGGCGTGGCGAAAGTCGGTGCCGCATCACCGAAGCATCGGCGAGGCGGCGCGATCCTCCGACTGCTTCTCGGAAACCTCAAGTTTATGTCGTTGCCTTCTTTTCGGGAAGGACCGAGCGTCCCAGCATTCCTGTAGGCCCACCAAGTCAGTCTTTGAAAACACCAGAACTATTCTTGGAACAGAATGCCACCGTATGAAAACCAGACGGTCTCGGCCAGAAACATTATGAGATCATGTCATGGAAACCGCCACACTTTCGTGGAATATTCCTTTCTGGGACTATAGGGAAGCCAGGGCACCTCGCCACTGCTTGATTTGGCTACACGCAGGAGTGGCCCTGGGTAAGAGTGACCTTTGGTGCGCGGCCTCTTGGGGGCCGCGAGGGGGCCAAGAACGGGCGCGCAAAGGCGCTGACACCGCATCGCGCTCGGCGATCGGGGGGGGCCCTCGGGCCCGCACCAAAGGTCACTCCAGCGAAAGGTCACTCTTGCGTGTAGTCGACCACCCAGAGATGCAACGTCCTGAATTCTTCAGCGCGCGGTCCCCAGAAGTCCCGACCCTTTCCCCAGGACCAGTCTTTCATCCTGAGTCGCTTCTTGACGGCCCCGAGGCCCGGCGAGGGCCTCCAGAGGCCGAACATGGCCCAAAGCCTCACGCCGCGATATTCTGCGCGACGCGCTCTTGCCTGGGCCTTGTCGTGACGTCGAGCAAGGAACCTGCCAGCGCCTGCAGAGAAAAACGCCCCCGAGACGCCGCCGCCGGGCAGGCGCCGCTCCGGGGCGCCGCCGCTCCGGCGGCGCGGGCGCGCTGCGCGGCGCCGCGGGCGCTGGGGCGCCGCGGCGGCGCCCGGCCGCGCGCCGGGCGCCGTGCCCGTGCTCTGCGGGGGGGGCCTCGGGCCAGTGCGCGGCGCAGGCGTCGGATCCTCTGCGAACGCCGCCGCCTCCTTCACCTCCTCCTCCTCCTCCTCTTCCCCTGCTCCTCCCTCCTCCTCCTCCTCCTCCTCCTCCTCCTCCTCCTCCTCCTCGTCTGTCTCTCTCGCCTTCTCTTCCTCCTCTGGATTCCTCCTCCCTCTCCACTTCCTCCCCCTCCTCCTCCTCCTCCTCCTCCTCCTCCTCCTCCTCCTCCTCCTCCTCTTCCTCCACCTCCTCTTTCTCCTCCTTCTCATCCTTCGCTTCCTCCACAACTCCCTCTTCTTCCACTTTGTCCTCCTCGTCCTCCTCTTCCTCTTCCTCCTTCCTCCTTCCTCCTTCCTCCTCCTCCTCCTCCTCCTCCTCCTCCTCCTCCAAGGATGGATCTTTCGGGCACATTTGGTGTGATTGTCCTGCGCTCATGCAGCCCGACGAGAGCGAGTTATTGACTGGCGTTGAGGTTTTGTATGAGCGTTACGCCTCTCATCGGAATGCTCTGCGAGCGATTGGACACCGCCCCCCGTTAGATCCTGACTACGACACTTTAAGCCTCAGCTATGGGGCTCCCTAAGCATTCTGTTCAGCTTCCATCCCCGCCTGAAAGTTCTGAGGTCTGGGAGTGGGGGGACGTTGGTTGGGAGTGGGGGTCTGTTGTTTTCGGGGATGGAAGCGCCAAGGCCCCTGCAGTGCCAGAGGTCGTAGGGCTGGATGGGCCATAGTTCAATTGAATGTGCAGCTGTTTCCAGTTCGAGCTGTTTTTTGATCGCTGGCGAAACCCATCCCTGGAAGTTGTTGCTTCGGACCTGCATTCATTGGTCCAAGGTCAGGCGTGGGACCCTGAGAATGCTTGTGGCATGATGAAATATGCTGCGATTTGGCGTGCCGTTCTTGAGACGGCCAAGCTACGACACACAGATGCTCCCCGTCTTGTTTGTGTGGACGCCTGCGCACCTTAGGTTCGAGGAAGTCTTGGAGCGAGGGCTCGACCCTGCAGCGTGGATTGGCAATGCGTGGGCTGACCTGTTTGCGAAGCTTACCTCGACGCGTGTCATGGTTGCCCGTACGCTTGCGGAGGCAGTGGCGGGTGAGCTCAAGTTTCATCAGGCCACGGTTGATTACATTGCTTGGGCTGCTGTCAGAGTCGTCAGGTTAAAAAAGAAATGGACTGACACTCCGCCGCCCCCTGATGCCTATCAGGACCCTCCACTGCCGCGGCTTACTCTGCACGGACATTCCCTTGTGCAGAATGAGGCCACTGGTGAAGTGCGTTGTGTCGCGTGCTTTGTAGGTGCTTGGTCGACCAACACGCTGAACCATCTGTGCAATGGCCCCTCCAAGTTTTGTCGGCACACGGCGGCCACGGCCTTAAAAGGCCAAGAGTGGCTCCGTTCCTGCGGGACTCGAGCTAGGCGTTTAAAGGCCGAGGCTCTGGCGAAGGCAGACCAAACCCTTGTAGCTGCTGGTATGCTTCCGCCGATTCCCCCTCCTGGGAACCCGTCTGGTGACGAGGGGGCCGATGCCATCCGTTCCTTTTCATGAGCGCGGTCATTCGGCCCAGAGGTCTGGCCGATTTATAACATGTGCGAAGTGTGCTGGGTCGTTGGTGCTGCCCCATGAAGTAGAGAGAGCCTTGAAGGCTCCTTGCGCTGGGCCATCCTCTGTCCCTTCGACCCGTGACAAGCAACTCCGTAATATAGCCAAGGCCGCCAACGGCCTGCGTCCGACCACAAGCAACGCTTTGTCGGAGGTCGGCGCAACCTCGCCCGACCCTGTGCCTGGCCTGCCGTCTATGCCCCTCCGAACGGAGGATGCGGGCAATACTTATGTCTATATCCACTGCAGTATGGAGTTTCGGGCTCCCTTCCCAAGAAACCCGAGGCGCACTGGATATGGATAAATGTGCCCCCATAGAGGCTCGACGTTTATCCATATCCAGTGCGCCTCGGCCTTGTGGCGCCGCTTCCAAAAAAGTCCATGGGGCACTGGATATGAACATGAATCTTGCCCGCAGAGGAGGCTGATCTCGGGAGGGTGGAGGCTCGGATGGAGCGGGCGGCGGACGGGTGTTCTGATGACTCTGGTTAATTGATGGCCTCGGCGGCGACGGCGGGTTGTCCGTGGTCTCTGCCGATGCCAACTGCTGCCCATGGCGGCAGCTCCCCTCGCCTTCAGCCTGCGGGCGTCCGTTACCCTGCGGACGCCTTCCAGTCGGCGCCCACCTCTTGCTCCTGCTCAGCTTATTCCTCCTCCTCCCCCTCATCTGTTTACCCACCTCCTCCTCCTCCTCCGTTCCCCCCCTTTCATCTCCTCGTCCTCCTCCGCCTCCTCCTCTTGCTCTTTACCCTTGTCCGTCTCCTTCTCCTGCTCTTCGTCCTGCTCCTCCTCCTCCTCCTCCTCCTCCTCCTCCTCCTCCTCCTCCTCCTCCCCATCTCTTCCTCCCCTATTCTCTCTCTCTCTCTCTCTCTCTTTCTCTCTCTCTCTCTCTCTCTGTTTTCTCTCTATCTCTCTCTGTCTCTCTCTCTCTCTCTCTCTCCCCCCCCTTTCTGTCTCTGAATGTCTACCTCTCTCTCTCTCTCGCTGCCCCTCTCTCTCTCGGTTTCCGTCGCTCTCACCCTGTCTCTTCCTAATCATCATCTTTCTCCTCCTGCTATTCCTTAAATGTCCCCTTCCTCGCTCCTTCTAATGCTACTGTTCCTCCTCTCCCTCGCCTCGTTCCTCCTTCGTCATCCTGCTTCTCCTCCTCCTCATCCTTCCTCTCCTGTTCCCCAACTGTTCCTGCACATCCCACTCTCCTTTCTCTTTCTCCTCCTCCTCCTCCTCTTCCTCCCTCCTCCTCCTCCTCCTCCTCTTCCTACTTTCTCCCCGACTCTTCCTCGTACACCTCATCCTTTCTGTCACCGACGACATTGCCTGTATCAGAACGCACGTGGCTGAGAAGAACCCACACAAACACTGCACCGCTGAAAGCAACCTCAAGCAGGCTGCGTTGAGACTAGCGTGAGAACCACCGAGACGGAAAGCACTGTGCACAACAACAAGAAACCAGCAGGCCGTGGCACGAGTGGCCAGGAAGGCTGGACTGACATGCGCAGCCGACTGCGGCAGATGTGGCGCCCTGCGTAAGCAGGAACAAAAGGCTGCAGCCATTCCTGTGCCCGCCTGCAGGATGGCCCCCAGGTGTCCCCTGTTATACAAGAGAGCACCTCACCATAGGGCAAACCACTCGAATCACAGTACTGTTGCAGTCGGTCTTGAGATCAACTTCGCGGAGACAAACAAACTAGACTTATGTCGGGTGTGTCCCCCTACAGGGGGGATGTTGGGTGAAAAAACGAACATGCACCAAAAAGGTCAAACAATACTCAAACAATAGTCCCCAGACTATTGTTTGACCATGTCTTGACTATTTGTTGGGGGTATGTTTTTACTTTTCGTCGAAAAAATCCCCCTGTAGGGGGACAGGCCCGACATAAGACTCGACCAAACGCAAGCGCCGACTCGAGCCCCCCTGGGCCGTCCGAGGGCTTGGACGCCCCAAAAAATGCTACGGAAAGAATGGGAAATGCTGTCCCGAACCAACAGCGGCCGCTGTTGGGCAGGCGGCCTCCTGTCTCAAATGGACACAGGCCGCGGCGGCGCGGACAGCGAGTCCTGTTCAAGATGAACAGGAACTGCTGCTGGGCATCGTACCCGTTCTTTCCGTACCCGTTTCGGCCGTCCGAGGGCAGGGAGCCCACGTGGGACCGGTGACTGCACGGAGCAGGGTCGCGACCTCGGCCGTCGCAGCCGAGCCCCAGGCGCGCAGGGAGAGCTCGCGAACCAAATGACGTCGATCCTTACCAGCCTCGAACTTATAGTCGTCGTCGGCGTCGTCGTTATCGCTGTCGTCGTCGGCGTCGGTGTCGTTGCCAAGCGCCATTTGGTACCCACCGTCACGGTCTTAAGAGGTCTTGCGACCAAGTTGCGGGAGGGAGGGTGGGATGTTTGCACGAGCAGTGGAGAGGACGGCTTCAAGGCAGTCAGAGTGGTCCCTATCCCTAAGATTGACACGCCAAAAGGCGATGACAATCTGAGGGATGCGCCCTCAAGAAATGAGGAAATCCCCAAGATTGGCATCGTGATGAGGAGGTGCCCAGCACAGGGGTAGGGATATGTTCCAGGCTGGTAGTATCAATGAAGACATGTTCCCGCACCTCGTCTGACGGGTGGGGAGGAGGAGAGCCAGGGTCGGGGGGGGCACAGAGTTGGGGCAGGGGCAAAGGTGGGGCTGGAGGGAAAGCCGCTCCGAACGGCCCCTGGAAGGAGGAAACGCGTTGAGCGGGATCATCCAGCTGGGCCCGCTCCCCAGCCCCACCTTGGGATGACCCCCCCTCTACGGCCCCCCAACAGGGAGAGGGGCAGGGATCTCTTCAGCGCGACGCCTGATCTCGGCTCCACCTTCACGGGCAGGACCAGGGAGCCCATCGACAGGGTGCCGAGAAGCGCGCCGCGCAGGACGAGAAGCCGGTCACGAACCCCCTGCCGACACGTCGGCGCGCTGCTGCACGAATGCAGGCCAGCAGTCTTCTTGTGTCTCAAGCACACCCATGATATCCACGTCCCCAAACGCGGTGAAACCTAGTCTCGCTCTCTAAACAACACACCGAGCACAAAAAGAGAGATCACGGAATATCCAGCAGATACCGCGTCAGCGGCCGTCCAGACGCCGTTGCGACCCTCATCAGCCCTCTGCTCTGATCGGAGACCGCAGAGGGTCCTAGCAGGGTCTTCGCTGCATCCCAGCACAAACGCTGCCCACCCCACACGCATCCTTTGAGTCTCTTTCCACGCACCCCAAAACAGCTTCTGTACATAACAAGTTCACCACATGTGCATGTGATGGTCAACCTGATATCCCGACCGAAGTTGCAAGTTTGAGAACAACAATCAGCCATCGTCCAGCCGAGGCGATAGAGGGACATCTCAAGCACCGAGATCGGCACCGAAAACTTACGCCAACCTAATGAACCTTCTGACCAAAGACGGCCCCCAAACCTTCCCGGAACTCCAACAAAAAAACGCACCAGGGGAACCCGTGAGTCTGACACAGCTAAATCTCGCAAGCCCATCGGACAATGCGGGCAGAGCGGCCATCCAGGGCGGGTCGCCTTCAAAGCGAAGTCAGAAAAGACAGGGAGCACCCCGGGGAGCGCGGACGGGTCGAACTCATCCCCATCCTCCTAAAACTCACCAGCTCCCTGTCCGAAACTGCACAAACCTGGATCCTCAAGATCCCCCACAGCCGTCGGGTCAGCAACAATAATAGGAGAGGTCGTGCGGCCCAGTGGCTTGCTAAGCCCGTTCAGAGGGCGGCACTCGCGGGCAGCACTGGCCAGTCTTGCCTTGACCTTCGCAGCCCTGACTTGCCCTGTACCTCGCAAAGCTTGGCCCGCGCAGCAGTCGACTCCTGGGTTGACAACGCCAGCCTGGCCAGCCCAAACTAAGGGCCTGAGCTGATCCATCAACTGGTTAGCGACATTCTTGTGCGAAGCCATCATGCCAATCTTATCCATGGAAAGCTCGCAGCAAAGAGTCACCGCGATGACCTTCTCAAGAGCAAACGCTCCTAACACCAGACTCTGAACAACATATTTAAACACAGGCCCCGGCTAACTTAGAGAAATAGCATCTATGTTGGCACCAAAGCCGGTAGTCGGCGATCGAGGGACACGGTCAAAGACAGGCATCGCGAAGACAAAGAAAAGGCTGGTCGCGAAAGAGCATCCCGCGACTAGGCCACAAAGTACGGCCCTTCGACAACCCCCCCACCACTGCCAAATATAGCGCAGAAGCGTAAACTCGAATGGCAAGCCTGGTCAGAGTAAGCGGGAACCCGTGCCCACGGCACTTGCCTCAGAGTAAGGTGGACTCAATGTGTTTGCAATACTTCTGAAATTACAGAGAATCGGAGCCGACAAATTTCCCCTCCTGGTGCCTCTTTCAGCTCTGAGCGCTTGTCCCCGCGATGTCAGTGGGGCCACGATTGGCCCTCGCAGCCCAATGCCTGATAGAATGGGCAGGCTCCCAAGGCACAGCCTCAATCCTCGTACTCCTCCTTCTCCTCCTTCTCCTCCTCCTCCTCCTCGTCCACCCCCTCCTCCTCCTCCGACCCTTCCTCCGCCACTCCATCTTCTTCCTATTCCTCCTCCTCCTCCTTCATTCCAGTTCCTCATACATATCCCTTCCCTGTTCGACCCCGAGGCTGGTCGAGAGGGCGGACCAGGCGCTTCGCCTCAGACTTCCTCGCCACTCGTGATCCTGAAGCTCCAAGTGTGAAAGAGCTTCACGGATGAAGGGCGGTTCCTTTTCACAATGCGGTCCTGGCTTGAGCATCGCGCACATCCGTCTTCAAGCGTCGTAGGAGCTTCACGGGTGGAGGGCGGATGGTTTTCCACATGCGCCTCTCGCTGTGGCGCCGCGCACCTCCGCCTTATGAGTTCGTAACAGCGCGGGTCGCTTTCAACATGCGGTTCTCACCTTAGCGCCGCGCACCTTCGTTTGAAGCGGCTACAAGAAATGCACGGATGGAGGGGAGCTCCTTTCAACACACAGGTCTCTCGCCTGAGCGCCGCGCACATCCGTGTCAAAGATTTGCGAGAGAACTTCGCGGATGGAGGGCGCGTGGCTTCAAAATGTGGCTCTCGCCGGAGCCCCGCGCACGTCCGCCTTATACACATACAATAATATCACGGGTGAGGGGCAAGTGGTTTTGAAACTGCATTACCACGCGCATTCGTCATATAAGCTTGCAACAGCTTCACGGATGGAGAGGGTACGGCGAGGGTGGGTCGTTTTCAATATGTACCCCCCGCCTTAGCGCCGCGCTCTTTAGCTTTGAGCAGATGCAAGAGCTTCACGGATGGAGGGCAGCTCCTTTTCCCAGGTGGCTCTCGCCTGAGCGCCGCGCACTTTCGTTCTAAAAGTTTACAAGAGGCTCGAACATTTTCATCGCTAACTTCCAAGAACTGCTGCTTTGACACGTCGTTGGACTGCCAGGGCGTACCAGTTACATTGACTCGTGGTGTCTCGATCCCACGAACGGTGCTCTGGCACGATTCTGGATCGTCAATGCGCAACCAACAATGCCTCTGATTCGCGGCGATGAAAACCCAAGAATGGTGTTCTGGCGCAGGCCAAGATTTCCAATGGTTACCTTTTCAGCGGGGCACTTCCTTCAATGAAAATGAACCCTTGAGGGGGCCCATGAAGAGGAAACTTGGAGAGAGGGTGGGTCTGGGGTTTCACGGGCCTCACGGGCCTTGCACCAGCGCTCCGCCTGGCCTTGGAGGGGGCGCCAGCTAGTGTAACTGACGGCGCCCGTCCCGCCCCTCCCCGATGCCCTGCACCCTGCGAGCGGGACTAGACAAGCGCGTCCCACTACTCGCAAAGTAGATACTCGCAAATGGCCTGGACCCGCCACGGGGGACTTACGATACATTACATCGGCAAGCATATGTGTTTTCGAACGTTTTCGAGCAGGTACTGTGCGAGCAGAATTGTGGATGCCATGACACTGGACACTCCAATAATCCGATCATTGAATGCAACATGTTTAAATTGTGTAGAACATGTTCTACACATGTTTCAAGCATGTTGTTACATATTTAAAGCATGTTTGAATTTGTTTCGACATCTGGAAAGTATTTGGCAGCACGCTTCCTCTCCATTAATCGACTTCCAAAAGAAAAAAGGAAAGCACTCGGTGGGGGATGGAAACCGCGCCGTGGCGGCAGCTGGCGAGAGCGACGACGTGGAGGTCCAGGGGGAGCTAGCGGCGCGCCGAGCTCCCTCCTCTCTCCTCGCGGCGCCTCGCGCACACGCCGCGGCAGCCGTGCCCGGCCTGGGAGCCGCCGCGGGTCGTGCCCGGAGCCGTCGGACGCGCAAGACGGCCACTTTGGCGACGCGCGTCATGGCGGCGGAGAGGCGACCAAGTCTGCGTCGACCGGGGATAATAGGCACAGTCGGCCTTGATTGGACAGGACACGCGAGAGGACACAAGACCCTTCCGAGGGCCACATCGCCATCGGAGTGTAAGAAGGCACGTGTCGCGAGGCACAGGACACAAGGGTACCCTTGAGCTAGCAGGGTGGACCTACTAATCCGGGCCGACTGTAAGGCAAAAGCAAGAGCAGGGCGCAACGTCCCCGACATCTTCACGATGCCTCGCTGATGCGCGGAGGCCATTCTGCCGGGCGGAACGGCGACCTGGACGCAGCTTCCCGCAGCGTTGGGAGGCGACCGCCTCAACGGCCGAGGCCACGCCGCAGCATGCGCTGCCGTCAACGGCGAGCCCCGACTGAAAGCAGTCGTGACCGCTACTGGCCAGCGCTGCGCCCACGACTGACGACCAATGGGGGGACGTGTGTGCGTGTTGTCGGATGGGGGACCCAGCTCGAAAAAAGAACCCCCCTGGGGTCCGACAACCAGCACCCATACTCACAGCCGGTCCTCCTCCCTCCGACCCACTTATGGGTATGGGTTAGGAGGCAACTACTGGGAGGTTCTCGTCGGAAAAATTAAAGAGGATTCAGCCCCATTGGGGGTCTGTTATGCCGGAGTGGGCCTCGGATTAAGCCGGACTAAGCAGAATTAAGCGGGATTACGCCGGATTTATCGGGACTAAGCCGGATTAAGCCGGATTCAGCGACCAGGGCTAAATCAGAATTTGACCTCCCAGGAGTTGCATCCCAAGGTATGGGTGTGTGTGTGTGTGTGTTGATCGTTCGTCGAGTGATAGTGCTCCTCCAGGGGGGTCAGTACAGGCGAGAACTCCTCGGTAGGCCACCGCCCGTCGCGAGCACGCCCGTGGGAGTGGAGTGCCGGCGCGGCGAGAGCCCCTTTGGGGGAGCGGCGGGGCGCTCGTGGGGGGGGCCGCGCTGCGCACCTCCTAGGGGCTTCCCGGGGGCCTCTTGGAAGCCTCTTGGGGGCCTCCTTAGGCCTCTTGGGGGCCTTGGGGGCGTCTTGGGGGCCTCTCCTTGGACGTCTTAAAGCTAGAGCGTTCCTGGCCCGTCTGACGGGTCTGACGCCGTCGGAAGCCGTCTTGGGGGCCTCTCTAAACCGATGTGGGGTCCTCTTGATGCGCGTTCGATGCTTCTTCGGTCGGCTTGCGGTCTGGTGTCTTCCGGAACGTGTCGTTCGGCAGCCGCTCCTTGGGGGGGAGCTTCAATCACAGTCGGACGCGATATTGAGGAGGACACGCGAGAGGACACGCGACCCTTCCGAGGGCCACGCTGCAACAGAAATGCAGGAGTCACGGGTCGCAAGACACAGGACACGAAGGTACCCTTGATCTGGCAGGGTCGATCTACGAATCCGGGCCGCCTGTACCGTCCCTTGGGCGCACGTCTGCTGTTCAAGGCTGCTCACAACAAATCGGCATGGTTGCTTTCGTGCCGTTGTTCTATCCGTATCGCATATATTTGAACTTCGTGGTGGGCCGCAATGTTTTACAATACGGTGGAGGGACGTGAGGCTAATCAACACTGCCTGGAGTGCGCCGCTCCTCGCAGCATTCTGGGGCTCATGTGCTAAATGGCGAACACACTGTACTACAAACATGACACTTGCACAGCTGTCGGAGTGACAGGATGCATTTCATTTGCCGCTCACTTTGCTGAAACAGGGTCTTCGAATGCCTCTCGCTGGTTCAAGCTCCGGGGTGGCTAAGACCATGCAGCATGACATCGTCATGGCGCCCATTGCAATCCCTCCCACTCCCTTTTTCCTCTTATCCTTCTCCTCCTCGTCCTCCTCCCTCCACCCTCGCTCGCTGCTGGGCAGCACGGC